CGCCGGAGAACCCCCATATTTGTATCCAAACGAAGAGCCGGCCGCAAGCCCACACGGAAGCCTTTCTTCCCAAACAGACCTAAATCAAGGGCTCATCGGGCGTCCGCTGCCCCAACATTGGCCGCCTCTGCTGCTCCTGGAGGGCGCTTCGCGGGCGCGCGGAGCCACTTGGCGCCGGGCCCGCCCCCGCCCCCTTCGCCACAGGCGTCGTGACGTCGCGCGGAGCCGCAGGCCACGCGACAGACAGGGCCGCCGCGCGAAAAAGTCGCGGCCCAGTGGCCACCGACCGACCAACGACACACCACAAGGCGTACCTGCAGTCTTGCCAAAAAATATATTAATAACTTTCTAAACACACATCCGAATGAAGAATCAACACTGCACTGCGAATACCGTTGCTTCACGGACGACTCTATAACACACTTGCTCGGCATTATGAAGACACTCAAAGTTCTTAACACGGACGTGGTTGTTTTCTGCCCCGCTTTTTGTAGGCCCGGGCTGACCTTCAAATCGTCTTGCAGGGTTTTCCCCCAATTAAATCTCCCTCTGCGGAGCATCGCCTCAGATGAGAAAACTTCAAGCACCTGATTTAGTAGTAATATTAGCAGTGGTAGCATCAGTCTTGTGCTCCAACTCACTCCATAGAATTCGAAGAAGGAAGAAGAAGAAAGATCGCATGCGTCCGCCACCCTTGTGTACTTCCCCCGACATCGTCTGTGTTGTTCAGAGAAACCACAATCACGTACAACCGGCCACTAGAATTCATTCAGACAACGGCTGAAATTACTTAGCTGTCTAGCAACAGACCTGCAATATCTGCCGTCATGAACACCCACCCCTAAGAGCACTCAGACATCAGGTTTTTCCCGAGCCACATCAGACTTCTCCCCGAATTGGAAATCACAAAATATTTATTAAAAAGGCAACAATTTAATATTGAATTAAAATAAAGATGCGACCATTCGGAACACATTATTCACTCCGCTTTCTTGTCATAAGTCCAAACATTCATCAATTATACAACAACATTGAAAATAAAAAGTACTAATACACGTAAATAGCACACTTATATTAGACTGACCCCATAATTTTGAAAATTACTAATTTTTAACCGCAAGAACGGCAAATGTACTGATACACTTGTATCTGTTTATAAATTTTATTTACAAATATACATGTATTTCTTATTTTCTAACATTATAACCTTAAGTATAAGAAAAATAGTTTTCCCACACTTCACATACAGTTTAATCCAATAATTAAAACATTATAAATACTTTGTTCTACAAAGTTAGCCGATTTTAATTTCAGCAATGAAAGGCAATAAAAAAAATTGTAGAAATTTCTGTTAAAATAAATCAAGAGACTGAAACAATACATGTTAATTTTAATTTTCGATAGCCCTTTAATAAGCGTACCCAATTCTTTAAACTAACGACATCTGCAAATCAGCCGTAATAAAAATAATTCCTCCAAGCATCTTCCACTTCTGCCCCTGGAGCCACCCGCGGGCGCCAGACGCCGAGAGGAAGCACGCCTCCCCTCCCTCGGCGCTCCCACGGCGGCTGCGCAGACACCCCGCTATCAGCCCCGCCCGTCGGCCTTCGGCCGCCCCTCAACGCGAGGGGGGAGACCACTCTCCCGCACAGCCCGCCCGCGCCAAGCAGCCTAACTCTCTGCAACACAAGCCCTAATGTGTTAATCCTAGGTCCGTTGCAGCGCTACTCTATATATAATTTTTTTTTCTTCTCAACTTCCATTTGTCACGCGTGCTGATGAGGTATATTCAACTCTAGTTTCACCATTCTTCGTTGCACTGATATACACAGTAGGTTGCACAGTTTTCGTGTCCCAAATTCATATTTAGTAGATGGATCAGCAGTACTCTTTTGCACTTTACTGTACCACACTCAGAACCTCTACGCAGTCCGTGAGGTCGATCCCCGACGTTCCAGGATTGCACACTAGCCGATAGCTAGCTGAAGTTCTGTTTGGAAGATAATTCTGCTGGCTCTCTCATTGGTTGTTTCCGTGTTCTCTGGATCAACACCAAGCGAATTGCCAAAGCAGTACCCTAGCATAACGGCGACAGATCGCGCGTATCTTTCCTTCATATTCCTTGCCCATCCTATCCCTTACACATACTTACACTTTCATACCACTACACATGCGGAAAGACCTGCTAGAGCTGTCCCCTGTGCGAGTCCGCTGTGGAGATACCGGGGAATCCCCGCTAGCTATGTAGTTGAACACCGGATCTCGCATCCACAGGGTAAATCACAACCAATCGCACAAGCCAAAATTACAGGTGGTGCGCCCGAATCATGAGGGAATCAATGTATCAATAAACCAACCCCAATTCAATATTTTTAGTAATTTAAAAAACTACAATACAATTTATTACACGAATACATAATTTTTTAAAAATTGAAGTTTAAAACGATAGAGGCTCCAAGATGTCATGAGCGTGTTATGTCAATGACACTTTCAAGAGATTAGGAAGTACGATAAATAAATATTATAGGTAAATTTGTTTTGCACGATTTCATTCCCTAACATACCAAGAATTCGACTTAAGTTTTGCCATACAAAGGATGAGGTCTGTTGTTAAACCACATACGCATTTATTTAGACATGTTAATGCCAAAATTATATAAAACAATATGTAATAGACAAGAAAATATCTTCATTCCTTACCCCTTTTATGCTGATTCTAATGATATGTACAGTTATTTGTTTTTCATTAAAACACAAAATTAATATAGGACATTGTCTGAAAATATGGAATATTGAAGTCTTAAGCACGCTTGAATACTAGAATCACACAAAACTGTCAAATACTATTCTTTCCCATTTTTACATTTACATCAGATTAGAATGTAGTTTACATCTACACGAATACATGACACATAATATCTGCCACATATATTTTCATTAATATTATAAATATCCATAAAAATATAGCCGAAACATTTTTATGTTCTTGTTGTAGTTGTTAAGTATAATTACCACACCCCATATTTTATGACAACATATGTAAAAATTGCCTTTCCATAAACCAGTAGTTATAACTGCCACGTGAAACGAACAAATTTAATTTTCCTACACCTTCTGAAGCTTATCTATTACGTCATGTAAACTATTTAATTTTGTGAGTACTCCATTCAGTTTTATTCAGAAAACAAAAAAAAATGACAATAATGTCGGCAAAGACAATATAAATACAAAACGCACTAAATATTTTCCCTCCGACGCCTTATGTAGCCAAAAATTGCATTGGACATATTTTCATTTCATAAAAATAATGTCTGACAGAGAGGACCAGAAGACACGTTACACGTTTTATTTCGATGATATAAAGTAAATGGAGCCTAACCTAATAACACGTGAAAACGAATGTCCTTGTGGGAAGAGCACAATTGTAACCCCATAGCTGTTTGCCAAGGATCGAAATTGTCCCTTTCTCTTTCTCAGCCAGCCCCTCCTTCCTGCGTCGCGCCGCCGTCTGCAGGCTTCTCCGCCAGCGCCATCACTCTCCGTCAAACCGCAGTCGCCGCATTCATTTGTCTCTTCCGCCCCCCCCGCCAACGCCTCCTCCCGTCCCGCCCACGTCTCCGCCCGCCTCGCCCGCTTCTCCGCCCCTTCGTTGCCCATACTTCACCCGCCCATTACGCCCCGCCCCGCCACGCCTCCGTCCACCCCTCCCACGCCTACACCACCCCACGCTCACGCCTCCGCCCTGCCCACGCATCTGCCGCCTCGCTGCGCACCTCCGCCCCCATCCAAAACTTTCCGCCCGCCCCACTAGCCCGCCAGCCCCACCTCCGTCCACCCCGCCCACGCCTCGCCCCCCCGACTATTTTTTTTTTTTTTTTTTTTTCCCCAAACGACCGTCCCGCCCCCCCCCTCCTCGCGCAGCCCCCGCCTCCGCCCCTCAGCGCGCGCGGGCGTCCCGTGACGACATCGATCACGCGCCAGCCGCCGCTCCCGCCGCCGCCGACTCACATGTGGCGCGCCGCCGTCCCCGCTTGACCCTCCGCCCCTACCCTTCGCCCACACGTCAGCGCCCGCGCGCAGCCGCCCTCCATCTTCGCCGCCCCGCCCCTCGCCTCCGCGAGCAGAGCGGCCCTAGCCAGCGGAAGGCCAAGGTTACTAGGAAGACCCTTCCGTCATGACAGGCTTCGCGGAGACGTCACCAGAAATAGGTTTCGTTTTGCTGTAGCTCGCTCTGCATCTTCTATTTCATCTACAGCCTCTAAATATAACTGGTACTTCGTAATATTCAAACTTCATTGATGTATTTTATTCTCCTTGTAACATCCGAACAAACAAAAGCAATATATATAATAAATAGATATAAAATATGCAATGATTTTTTTATTAATTGCAGTGAATTTTACTGCCTTTTCTTCACTTGCGCTTCTTAGATAGAGTTTGTTGCGTCAACTAACGTCTTTGTGTTCATCTACTGAAAGACTAAAGGTAGACTGTTTACTCCAAATCAATCAGAAATATGTTTTCATTTACACCATTAATTCCTAACAAACCGAGATAGAAATCAAAAATAGGTTCCACATTGAGAATAAGCAATAATCGCAATATTAATTACGTCAGTGCGAAGAGAAAATCGTTGTCGTTGAATACTGGAAAGAATATATACAATAACATCACAAATTGAACAAAAAATGACACTCACAAAGTATGAAGAATACAATTTGTGACCAATACTCTCCCTATACAAGAGAAAGTATCCAAGAGTAAAATATAATGTACGACTTTAAATACGTAATTCAAATGGTATCACTTTATTTCCTTCAAAATATTAATGATTTGAAAATACCGTAGGATTGTTTTATTTTATAGTCCATTCCGTTTTATTGATACTTAGTTCTAATTTTTTATTATGATACACATAATCACAGGAATAAATTATAGACACAATCTACTTTGAAAATCAAAAAACATTTTTTTACAATTAAGAACTGAAATTTACTCACCCAGAAGCGATGGGCCATTTCATTAATTAAAAATTCATTTGATCTGAAAATGAAATAATTTTAAATTAAAATAAAAAATATAATGAGAATGATTTTAACACAGATTAATTTATAACACTTTTCTGTAATAACGTAAGTTAGGAAGGGTCTGAACTTGACATAATTTTAATACACATTATTACAATTAAATACGGCACCTAATTACATTGAGTTACGAAATTCAGTTCTTCTGTATGCAATATGGTCATGGGATATTCTTCCAGGAATTTCATCTCCAAATAAGTCTCAAAATTTTATAATGGTGCATTTGTATTTATATTTTCATGAATTACAGTTTATTGTGCTTTCGTTCTTTCTTTCATTTTACAAACAAATGAGTTTCAGATAATAAGATTACTTTAATATTAAACTAAAATTATATTAATAATATTATTCCATAAAATTAACATTCCACATACAAAATAATGTAACATATTCTGCCTAAGTGCCAGGAGAAGCTGTCCCGATCAATTTTTTTCAGGTAATTATAGTTTTCCTAAAATTCTTCAATGGAATACAGAGAAATAATATTATCTTGACGCACTGAGTTTCCGACACCTTAAAAGTTTGTATTAAAAAATCGTCTTCTTCTCATAAGCCAGAACATGTGTTCTGATTATTTGCAACACGAAGAATTTTATGGATTGAACCTCAAAGGTAGCAAAATGGACAAAACAGTAGTGTTCAATAACGCCACATGAAAGCGTTCTTTTGTCCGACCGGCGGATTCGTAAGTTGAGACTCCGTCTGAGGGAATGAGGGACGGACTGAAGACGGAGGGGGCAGCATATGGTTAGGTATTTATGGGCGTAATCGCTTTCGCACCGCATTACTCACTCTCATAAATCATCCACGCCCCCTCCTCCTCTTCCGCCCTCGCCCAGCGGGCGGCGTCTGCGCGTGCCGCCGCCGCCGCCGCCTCTCGCGCTGTCAATTCCCGCGACAGCCGTCGCTCGGGGACGGCCCCCGCCCGCTGCACGCGTGCGTCACACGCTGAGCGGCGGCGGCGCCGCCCGAAAGGCGAAGGCGTGAGAGCCGGGTCCTTCAATTCGTTCGGACTCGACAATGAACGAGACTCAGTGAAGTAGACCTTTCGGGCTGGCTGAGGTTGCCGACGCGTTGGCCAAAATCCGACCGTCCGCCAGGTTGCCGACGCGTTGGCCCGACCATCCGATAGGCGCGGAAGGGATATCACATTGTAGATAAGCATGTGAGCAGTCAACCACTGCGTATTTTTGCCCCGAAGAAGGTCTCAGTATGACGGCCGAATCTTTCGTAATCATGCTGACATGGCGACACCCGGTCACCTAAGGATCTAGCGACTCCAATCGTGGAACTCTACATCATCAAGAGAGGCCTTGGAATTTGAGGTATTCGGTTGGTGTAAGTTGTAGAAACACTAAACTCCCTAATTCTCAGCCACCTGTTAACCTACCTTCCCTTCAACCAGCAGCCAGTGATTTGAGACGATGATGCTCGCACCTATCGCAACATGTTTGTAGACGCACAGAAATAAAAGAAATCACTGATTAAATTGGGAGTTCATTTTTTAAGTAAATCAAATGAGATTTCTACTGGCCACCTAAAAATCTTCCATACAGTACAGTGATGTGCTACGTGAGAAGGGATGGCCGGTTTTCTAAGGCATAATGCGTGGGTACATAAAGGTACTGGAATTAACGAAAATACAGCAACCTTCAGTGCATATGATGTGTTAAGCGTTTACCCTGAAATGAAGTTCTTCGATGGTACATTTTCTTATTAATACATATATTAATTTATAATATTTGAATACTATTATTGGAACGACGTTTTCACAGGCAAAATCTCACCCTGTCTGGGCCATGGTCCCGAGACAACTGGTTAAGAGACTGTACTGAATAAAGAATTACTGTCTCTTTCAATATAATCAAGACAATTTTTGAAATGACAAAAATTAGATTTGTCCCAACAAATTACACTGATCAACAAATGTTTAAAATGTGTGGATATATTGGTATCTAATAGTTGTTCTGAGATAAGTGAAACATGCTGATTAAAAACATGCAAACCAGTTGTCTCTATCACTCACCGTTTTTTAGATATATACCTCAACCATTTATATTTTACTAGAAAATGTTTTGTTAAATGAAGTACTAATGAACGTGATATTAGCTAAGAAAATAGTAAAGTTCATCACATGGCACGCATAATATACGTATATTTCAAGGTATAATAAACACATAAAATCCATACACACTGAAAATACTTAATCTAAGGTTATTTGGTTTGAATTTCTTTGCTATAGATTTGCGGTTGTACTGAGCATTTGGTATGTCACGATGAAGTGTCCAGGACTAGTCAGCCAACATTGCTCCATTCCATTGACCCTGATGCGTTACTCCTTTGAATGCCATCCATACATTCTTCTCAGTATCATTTAGTAAGTCTTGGAAATTGCTGCCAGCAATTACCTTCTTTATGTGTGGGCCTGTGAAAATACCTTCTTACACTTAGGCATAAATCATCTCTCGAATCTTGGTGCACAGGTACGAAAAGCACTAGAATTGTCTACAGCCTTCACAAAATTTGTCATGAGTCCCAGCTTCTTATGAAGCGGTGGCATGATTACGTTGTCAAGGATCAATCAACAGCAAACAAAGGACATTTTTATTTCTTGGCTGCATTCTAGTTTTGACAGGCCATTTTTACTTTATGTAGTGGTGATATACCTTCACTGTCCCACTCTCTGATAAAACATCAGTACTTGATGTACCCTGGCAGATGTTTCCACAAAAATGGTGATGATTTTTAAATCACCATAGATACACTGTTTATACTCGTGATAGCATATTTTTTCAAGAAGTAGCGAGATAGTACGAGATGTCTCTTTGAGGTGGGTAGAATATCCAACATGTACTATTACATATTTGTTTTGATTTTGTAATAATACTGCTTTCAAACTTGTTTTAGTTGAGACGATGAACAATCGCCATGCGTCAATGTTGTGTTCCACCCCGCGGCTTGCCAAGAGACCTTGAACGTACGCACGTTGCAAATACTGTCACTCATTGCAAAGTAATGCGATATCGAAAATGCTTCCTTAAATATATTTTTTGGCACAGACAACGAAAATATTGTGTGTCATTGCATGAAAAACAACGTGAACAAAAATTTGGGAATAAACAATAGATAAACGGTGTTCCATGAAAATAATTTTTTTCCGGTATATTAAATACCTGATGTGATATACCAAAACCGTTTTCAGATTTGAAATCAACATAAAAAACCATATTAGAAAAAGTAAACATCATGTCAAATATCAATAGCCTATTTATTAGTGTTATCCATAGCCGAATACTCAGCAATAATTCTTAAGTTTACAGAACAATAATTAAATAGTTACAGTGCTGCTAACTGTAAACCAGGGCTTTTTAAAGCCAGTACAGCAGAGGATATAATGAAAAAGTTGGCAAATCACATAAAATGCTATTCCGCATGACAGTTAATATTCACTTAAAGACCTAATAATTTCTACTTTTCTTGTCACAAAATATTACATTCAACAAATGTTTTACGTTTTAATAGAATAAAGATACATTTTGGGCGTCTTGTGTTATTGTTATTTGATGGTAGTGAAGTTATTTTGTTATGAATTTTAGGCGAATGTAATAAATCATTTTGATATATTGGAACTAATGAAGAGTCCAATTGATTTGGATGTAATTGAGTTGTAATGTTTTGTAAAGGATTATTTACAGATTCCATGCAAAGATTTACTGCACTGAGGTACACCAAAGCGCACTATAATCATCAAAATATTCGAGTGAAAGTGGAATGTTTTTGTTTCTCTGCAATTCGCCCAAACTTTGTTCATTCTTATTTTTATTAAGCACAAAATATTTAAGTTGAGTTTGCATTCTCTTTATGTTTCCTTAACAACAAAATAGTCACATCTTTTGAGTTTTAAATTTTCTCCGCGCTGATGTCTTAATTAAATGAAAGGCCTTAATTAAATGCCTTAATTAAATTAAAATAAAAGGCAAGGTAGCAATACGTTGTTGAGTGAACGTCAGAACGATGTCAGATTTTTTAGAACTCAGAATGTCTTGAAGGGACTGGTAATAAAGGTTTTATACAATATTTTATTGTTAAGACCAGTTGATTTTCTGGTTAGAAACAGATAATGCTCACACTCATGTTCTGGAGAGAGAGAAAAAAACTCTTTGGATAAAATGACTCAACTGAAAAATGAAATTGGAATACATATGATAGGGAAATGGAAAGTGCTTTGTTATAAGCTAAGCACTAAAGGAGATTCTTGTGTGAAAGTGAAGGAGACACCACGAAGTGCATTGGACGGTGATCCGTTGCTGTCCCCGCTCCGCACCCGGTCCTCTAGCGGTCGCCTTACCCTCAGCCGCAAGGTCCTTCTCTCCGCCTTCGAGAACTGTGCCCCGCCTTTACCCTCAGCTATCAGCCCTGCCCAGTCTCCGCCCCGCACTCTGATCGCCTTGGCACTCGTGACCTCCCACTCCTCGCCTCGTCTCTCGTCACCTCGCTGTGCTGAACACTGTTTTGCTTTCGGCCGCCGCTGCTTTCCATAATACTCCTTCGGGAGCGCTTGGCGCGCTAGTATCTATCTTCTCCCACTCCCGCGTATGGTCAGGAGCAAATGGGCGCTCACCTGGAAGAAATCCAGAGCGCGTGGGGCGTCATTTATATCGATAGTGAAACACCCAGGCACATGCATCGAGAGGACGTGGAGATCACGGCAGTGGAAGCCAGAGCAATGCAACTAATATGTCGTTTATATTAACGTAAACGAACTTTTTTCTTCCCTTTTGTGATTTGATGAATATCGTGACGGATTCCTTTTCTTAGCGAGTAGTTAGGGAGTGTTTGTAGGTATCAGTGTAAGTGTCAAAAATGAATTTTTCAAGAAAAGAAAAACAATTTTCAAAACTTGTTTATTCTTTAAATATAAACTTTTTGCAATTCTCAATTATTATAACGTGT